TCATATTATCTCTAATCAATAAAGTAACATATAAATAAAAAGGTAATTAAACTGAAGGAAAGTATAATAAATTAAAGAAATGTCCAAAAATAACTAAATGATTGGCTCTCGAATTAAATAAAACATGACATGGATGGTCAAAATTATAACTCATGTTTAATACAAAATCTAGAGCATCTTGAGCTTCCTGTTAAGCTAAACTATATATATGTGCCTAAATTGGAGTTGGTTAACAAAACTACCATACTCTCTCTGACCTACATATAGTCTATCTGTCATAGAACTCGATCTACTACCTCTACCAAGTGATCCCTCAGAAAACATACAGAATGGAACAACCCTCGATCTCCCTGCCAATCTAACATAGCTCTTAGATCTAAGACCAAATAGTCGATCAAATCCTACAGGTGAATACTCTACCATCCAATGTTCAGCCTGATGACATCAAAAATACTATCCAGTCATCCTGTAACACTGAATTAAAAGATGTCTATCGCAACTCTGATATATATTGGTGCCCTACTAACAAAACTCTCAAAACTAGTGTGATGCCCCATAATCTAATTTAGAAAAATTATTTTTTTATATTTTAATTTACATAACAACTAAAGCTACCTTTTGTTCAAAAAATAATCCATTTTATCTAAAAAGATTTGATAAAATTGGTTTGGAAAATGGACACTTAATGGTCCCAAAATTTTTACTTGTACCGACATATGTCACTTTCTTAAGAATTTTTACCAATGCAAAAAATTATGAAAAATTTACTATAATTAAATCACTATAATATCTTTATTATGGTGAAGATGGTTTGTGAAATCAACTTATAATAACTCATGAAAACTTTTATTTACCTAAATAAAAATATAGGCTATTACAACTTGGAATACCACCATAGTTAAAGCTGCCATAGATATGGACTATCCACCTTTTGTGGACTCTCTAAGTACAAGAATGCTCTTTTTCCTATAAAATCTACTACTAGATTTCTCCCCATTGAACCTCTTCCTTCTAATAGTCTATCGCTACTGAGTAGTTATTAAATCAGTTTTAATCAATCTATTTTTCTCCATAAGCTTAAGAAAATAAAAAATATTAAATGGTACTAGTGTTTGTCTCAGCCTATCTCATAGTCCTCTCAAAAATTTGTATGACTTTTTTTTGTAGGAGCGTTAACCAACTATAGAGCATATCTAGCCAAAGCAAAAAATTATATCTCATAGTGCATCAGAATCCTGCTCCCTTAAGTAAATCCTAGAAAAGTCTCATATATCTATTGTCAATAAGGTAATACAAACTAGGCTCAAAATATATAAAAAAACTCATCCCAACTAATTAGAAGTTTAATCTCCCTTAAAATTTATTTTTCTGCTTGCCCATCCACAAGTGTTCTACCTTACCATCTAATAAAAAATTGCTAATGAAACTTTCCTCTCAAGAGGACACTGCATACAATCAAATATCTTCTATAGTCTCCTCAACAAATCCACTACTATCATGGGATCAATAGCACCCTAAAACCTTGGAGGCTTAAATCTCATAAACATCTACAAATTTCTATCTCTTCCATCATATTAGATAATAAGAACTCTACTCTATGCTTTTCCCATCATCTATGCTATCAAACTAGCAAACTTAGAAAATGTGTTAGAATAAAACTACTGGAGTAATACTATATACATAAGATGCATGATTGACACACTATCCATCTATCATATATAGGTCTAAATGATCTACAATCACACAAAATATACAAATAAACATAAATTCACATGAAAAAAAAAGAACACCCAAATAGATACAAAACTACTCTACTTAACTTACAAATCAATTCCTATAGCTTTGTCATATGATCCATTTCCAAAATTACTACCCTGATACAATAAAAAACTTATCATAACACAGCTTAACAAGATTTCTATCATATTAAATTATGACAGGTAAATCCCAAGAGTCCATTTTAGAAATATTTTAGATTTCATTTCGATAGTTAAAATTTAAAATAAACTACATACTACAGAGCTACTAAAAATATCTAGAGTACTGAAAATAAACTTATCCACAAAATTTCTTTTCATTTCACTAAAGTGGCATGTACAAGATCTACACTACAATAAACAGCTATAAACTAAAAAACTAAATTAGATAAAAGCTAGCCATGACTATACAAAAATGAAAATAGAAAATACCTGTTAACTCATGTCAAATCTTGTTCCCATATCGTAAAAATTAGAATCAAAATTATAATGTGCTTAAATAGGTCAGAGGTCAGTTGGTCATAAATATTGATCACAATTTTTAAATAATTATTTTATTTATTTTTTGGAATACTTAAAAGCAGTTAAATGCAACATAATAAATCACTATGCTGAGCAAAATAATAAGGGCATAACAATTAATCAAATTCAAGTAATATAATACTAAGCTGTCAAATAAACTGAAAATTATATTACAAAGTAAGTTATATCAATTTTCTTCGTAGTTATAAAAAATATCTAAAGGATTTTGGCCCCTTATGCCTACCTTTGTGCTTATAGCACAAGAATATGGCTTATAGCCACCAAAACATGACTTTTTACCAGATTTCTTTTCATAGATCAAAACTCAAAGAATTGTAGCCTCTTATATCTCCCAACATATATTTTTCATATCAAACAATCACATAAACACATATCTATTCTCATGGTAGCAATTTAAAAATAATTAAGCAAATTTTATAATTGTATAGTTTTTATAATGGTGGAAAATAATAAATCCCACTGAGTACAAATGGATAACTAAATTATCATATATTATGTAAAATAATATTTTAAAACTTTAATAGTACTACAATACTATTTTTTAGAGTCCAAATTATTTTTTACTCAATAAAAATATTATAAATTCTAGATCCCCTTGTAAAATTTCTAAAACATATCTAAAATATTTAGAATCTTAATTTGTATAATATACAAAAAAGTTACAAAGTGAAAATTTTTCCAATATAAAGTTATCCTCATTTTTTATTTTTAAAATTGAAAAAGGCATAATGTGATATGCCTCGTTCCGGAACACTTTTCCAACTAGGCTGATGGCTAAAAATGACCCGGAGTTACTAAAAATCCTTTCCTCTCTCTCAAATTCTCTCTACTTCTCTCTCATCAATGTTAGTTGCTAATGACCAAATGTAATGGAATGGTTTATTTATATTATAAAATGTAGATAGCGACTGAGTGTTGCAGTTCCATCATCTAACATTGTGACACTAGTTCATTTTCCAAAAAGTACATACCACAGCACTAAAATGTCACTATTTGGCACATTGGCATTGTTACAACATTGTGATGCTCAGACACCCAACATTGTGGCTCTCAAATAGTTAAATTTTACATTTTTTTGGCAAAGTGCACTACAAACCATAATAACTCATTCGAGAACACATGTAAATCATTTTTATACATCAAAATACTTTCAAACACATGCAAATAGATTCAAAATAACAAATTTTAAATATTCACATTTTTTTTCAGTTGGGTTAGAACATTATAATCTAGATGCTGAACTTGGAGGTGTTACAATATAGTCGACTGACAATGGAGGATTGACGAAGGCACGATAGAGGTCCAACAACAATGGTTGGGCAAAGGCCTAACAGCTGTAGTATGACAGTGCGAGTTTATCGACGGTGGTGTAAAGGCGGAGCTCTGGGATTCTTCAAGCCTCAAAGTTCTCTTGAGTTTCTAGCCTAGGGTCTAAGTCTTCAAATATTTCTTCCCCTCTCATATGGGAAAAGGGATTCTATTTATAGATTTTGAGAGTGGCATGCTTCATAAATATGAAGAAGATTAGGGATAAATTAAGAGTGCTTCATTGTATGACCCATATTGATTCACTCAATCATGGAGCATTCATCAAGCATTTAAGTGCCTTAATAATGTCATAATTAAGCAATTTTGGGACTTGTTGGATTCCTTTTGTCGAGATGCTAGATTTGATTAAGAATGTTATATTTGGATATCATTTGGTCATTCGATTAATACTTTTAAGCTTTCAAATATGTTTTCGTCCCTTGATTTGAGCCCATTTGAGCTTGGATTGAACGGATTTTGGTGTCATTGAGTTCATCTTACTGAAACGTTCAATTAAATTGTATGTTTACTGAAAATGGAGTTAGATGGTCCTGAATTTAATTTTGGGCGATGGAAACTTGTACTTGCCTCAAGATTCGTGATCAATCAAGTTGATTTTTTGTGATGTTTCAATTCTACTGCTAATTGGTTTATTTTTACTACTACTCTCTCATCTTGATCTCACCTTCTCCATATTATGCTACAATAATTTTGCACTTTCAACCAACTTAGCAAAATCTTTAATATGTAAAGAAATTGAAGGTTGGTGCAACTTATGTCTTAGCCCTCTCAAAAACATATAATGTTTCTCGCTAAAGATGCTCATTAATTATGGGGCATATTTGGACAAGGAGGTAAACTCAACTTCATATTATATAACCATTAAGAATCCTTGAGTTTAAATTCACAAAATTCTCTTGTATCGCATTTACCTTTTAAAATTTTGGAATATCACAGCCGCTTGATTCGATTATACGAATGTCAAATTTGAAGATCATATGATCCCATAATAAATTTTTAAAGTTTCCAATCACACTTCATGTACTTGATCTATACTCATTCAGATTCAGATTGGCCCAGGTTGTATCATTGAGCTCATCTTGCATAGAAATTCAGTTAAACTATAAATTTGCTAAAATTGAAATTTGAATGACCCTAATTTTAATTTAGAAAATTTTAAATTCTATTATGCGCTGATATTCGTATCCGATTAAAATAATTTTAGGTGATTTATCAAATATATTATAAATCTAATTTTAGACAATCATAATGAAAATAATTTATATATAATTTCCATATAAAAATTATAAAATCCGCCATTGTTAATTTTTAATCTAGACACAAAAAAAAAACAAAAAAAACCCGTTAAAACCGCCATGTGCCTTTAAAGTTTAAACGCAACTTCTCATCCCGGAACCTTCTCGAAAGGAAACCTGCTTCGACGCTTCTCGTGCTTTCTTCCCCTGTTTGCGATTTCTACAAGGCATTTACGTTCTCCCTTCTCCTGAAAACTAGATGGTCGCTCTGCCGCTGGCAATAGAACCCCCGGCGACGGTGGAAGCGCAGAGATCGATGCCTACGCCCTTCTTGGCGAAGACGTATCAGCTTGTTGACGACCCGACGATCGATGATGTGATCTCATGGAACGATGACGGATCGACGTTCGTCGTATGGAAGCCAGTTGAGTTTGCACGCGATCTGCTTCCCAAATACTTCAAGCACAATAACTTCTCAAGTTTCGTCCGGCAGCTGAATACCTATGTAAGTTGATTTATTCAGGATTCCTCTTCTTGGAGATTTGGTTTTGTGAACATGATAAGATGAATAGATTGTTTTTGCTGGAATTTTAGGGCTTTAAGAAGATTGTCCCGGATCGATGGGAGTTCTCGAATGATTCATTCAAGAGAGGAAAGAAGTGGCTGCTCTGCGAGATTAACCGGCGGAAGATGGCCACACCGGTGGTATCGGCGGTAGCGCTAGAGGCGGCTCCGGTGAACAGGTAAAATTGATAGCGATACACGC